ATTTAAATATTTAAATGGCCTTAAATTTAAATGATTTAAAGTTTGAATGTAAAGTTAACTTTGTGAAATTACCTTTAATTTGAATTTATTGGTGCTTAAAGCTGATTTTCGAAAATGCCACCGCCGGCCGCAACACAGGCTGCCACTCAGTTGTGAATTGCACTGGTCATATCAACCCACCATGCCTTAAGTAGCTCTCAAGTGTTGAGATAACAAGAATGCTGTCTGTAGCTGGCTAAAAATGGCGACCCACCAGCTGACAGACGCGGTTCACATGAGGGCATGTAAGGGAATGAAAAAACGGTCATAACTCCATAACCGTCCAAAATCGGACACATGTTTATATGAACTTTTTTGATCACAACGACCTAGGAAAGCGCCTCCTGCAGTTATGCCCTAAAGTCGTGAAACACTCTTTATAATCATATCCAATACTAAAGTGGAAGTTGAAGAGATACCAGATTGTCAGTATTCATTACATTTTTGGTAAGATATGTTACTTTTGCCATATAATCCTTTCCATTACTGAACCAGTATATGAATAGATACCAGATTTTCAGTATTCATTACATTTTTTTAAGATATGTTATTATTTCTGCCATATTGTTCTGCCCAGTACTGAACTGGTGAAGATGAATATATCACATTTTCTTATATCATTAAATGCAGTCTTAATCTTGTTGACGGGTGTCTTTCACATTCTCAAATTCCATCATTCTAATGAAAATAATAAATGGGAACATGAGTATTGTAAGATTTGAGGCTTTCACGGCGGTGACTATGAAGAAAGCAGTCTTCTGGGATTTGGCACCGTGTATATGTGGTGTTAACCGACGTTTCGGAGGAACGTATCGCCCCCATCTTCAGGGTTGAAGAAGTATAAGTAAATCTGCAAGCGACAACACCGTGAGACACGGTCAAGCAGACTAAAGAACATACCGTTGAGCAGAGAGGGAAGGGGATGAACTGCAAGTAAACAAGTGAAAGCAGCGGTGTGGGAGGGGTGGGGGAAGGGAGCCGGGACAAGCGTGATTTTGTGTAGGGGAGAGTGTAGCAAGGTTAAGTGGCTGGGCTTTAACTGTGAGCTGAGAGTGGGGGGTTGTTATGTTGGTTGGTCATGGCCTTGTGGCTTCCTGGATCTGGCGTCATATCCCGGTGGGTGGTTTTTAAGAGAACAGATAAGGGGTTTCCAAGACTTGCTGAGACGAAACCCATCCTCTCTGTTCATATTCCCTGGATGCAGTTCGATCTCAATGGCTTCCCTAATGATGCGATCCATATAGCGCGTCTTGGTGGCGAGGATGGAGGTATTCTGAAGCTGAATGCGGTGTCCCAGTTCGATGCTGTGTTCAGCTACGGCCGACTTGTCCGGATGTTCGAGACGGATGTGCCGCTGATGCTCCTTCAACCTCGTGTCCACGGAGCGGCCTGTCTGCCCAATATAGACTTTCCCGCACTCGCATGGGATACTGTATACACCCGGTGTCCTTAGGCCCAGGCTGTCTTTAACCGGCCGGAGGAAATTGGATAATTTGTATGGAGGCAGACCCACTGCTTTGATGTTGTGCCGGGACAGCACTCTGCTGATACGGTTGAATATGGTCCCGACATAGGGAAGGAAGGCGACTGAGCCCGGTTTGTCTTCAGGCCGGCTGATGTTGGGCCGACGGTTGAGAACTCTGTGGATCTGCCGGTTGTTGTATCCGTTCTTCTTGAATACATCCTTCAGGAGCAGCAACTCCGCATGTAGGCTGTCTTGATCACACAGTGCTCTGGCCCTGTGCACCAATGTAGAAAGTGCAGCTTGCTTGTTGGAAGGGTGGTGGTGGGACGCAGCGTTAAGGTACAGGTTAGTATGGGTGGATTTGCGGTACACTCTATGGCCCAGGGAACCGTCGGGTCTCCTGTAAATATCTATATCCAGGAAGGGGAGGTCACCCCTCCCACATCGCTGCTTTCACTTGTTTACTTGCAGTTCATCCCCTTCCCTCTCTGCTCAACGGTATGTTCTTTAGTCTGCTTGACCGTGTCTCACGGTGTTGTCGCTTGCAGATTTACTTATACTTCTTCAACCCTGAAGATGGGGGCGATATGTTCCTCCGAAACGTCGGTTAACACCACATATACACGGTGCCAAATCCCAGAAGACTGCTTTCTTCAACATGAGTATTGTTTCTTACAATATATGATTTATAATACTTAAATGTAACCGAAAAACTGTGTTCTGTATGGCTTTCAAGTGTAAGTTATGAGGAAATTATGAGGCTGAATATATGTATCTCTGATGGAAACAGAAATTTTTTTTTAAGTTTCCCCACCTTCAGCTTTCCTAAATACAAGTATTCCATGTATGTCAGTTCACAGTGTTCAGTTCCTTTGGTTAAAGAGGCGTTTCATGTGAAAGAAAGGTTATGACTTCCCAGGCACTGGTGACAAACTTTCTCCAGATAAATAATTTGCAACCTAATCTCTTGTACTCTAGAGCTGCAGAGGCTCGTATTCTGCTGTTATTTTTTTTTGGAAAGGGGGTGGAGGACCAAGTTTAATAGAACTTCACTCAAATCCAACCAAGAGGATATGGGTGAAGTAATATTAAACTTACTTATGCAGCTGAACCCTTCTTGAGATGCTGCCAATTGTGCAGCCACTCAAGAATTGTCCAGCCTTTTGTAGAACCCAGAGTTCATTACTATGTTCACAAGAGCCTTCCACTGGTCCCTATCCTGAGCCAGATCAATCCAATCCATACCATCCTATCTCACTAGGATACATTTTAATATTGTCCACCCACCTACACCTTGGTCTTCCCAGTAGTCTCTTCCCTTCTGGCGTTCCTACCAGTATCCTATATGCATTCCTCGCCTCCCCCATTCGTGCTACATGCCCTGCCAACCTCATCCTCCTCGACTAGTGATACTGAAATTTATTGCAAGAAGCGAAACAAAGAATTGATGGCTGGGGGGGAAGGGGAGCACTCAAAATAGTTTCTAAGGTAGCATGCCTTTTTACCGATTTTGCTCTCGGCTATGGAGGCCATTTTAAATTTAGTTCATGTAAGCTGGAAGTAGATGGCAGCAGCATTGCTCTGAGGTTTCATGGGGGCCATGTTGCCAACCAATAACATGGGAGTTTCACGGGGCTGTTCGGGAACATGATTAATGTTCAAAACCATCATAATATCGAGATGGAATTTTTCACCACTACCATTACTAAAACATTTGTCATGAAGAGGAGAAATCCTGGTAATCTATTTTTTTTAGTCTGTCTAATAGTGAAGTTCCACCCCTACTATTTATTCCCCCACCCCACAGTGGATATATGCGCCGTTAAATACCAAATTTGTTGGAATTCAAGGGCATGATAATGTTCAAATCCATCATAATATCGAGATGGAATTTTTCACCACCACCATTACTAAAACATTTGTCATGAAGAGGAGAAATCCTGGTAATCT